GATCCCAGGACCCTGGGATCATGACCTGAGCCAAAGGCAGATGCTTAACGACTGAGCCACCCAGGCGCCCTGGTCTTTGAGCCTTTTCCACCTTCGAGCTGAGGCCTGAAGAAGGAGGAGTAGGACGTTGGAATATCAGACAGATGGCCAGCCAGGCACCAGGCAAGGGCATCCGTGGGGCATTGCCGTGGGAGCAGGGATGATGGAGCGGTTAGCTCCACCTGGTGGGAGCAGAGAGGACTTCAGCCAGGAGGTGAAACCTGCGTGACGCGGATGAGTGCTGACGGGGTCACAGGTGGGAAGAGCCACGAGAGACACAGGCAGAAAGGTTCCAGACCTGGGCGGGCACACAACATGGCGAAGCAGCTAGCATCATGGCTGGAGGGCTTCCATGTGAGGCTGGGGGTGTCCTGGGATGAATGTGTGGGGATGGGGCTCTCTCCTCAGACAAGGACACCACTGTGTAAGCAGCAAGTAAGTTACAGTCCTCGAGGCCGTGTGGCCCCGTAGCTCCCAGGCCCCAGGCCCCTTCCAGCTGCAGAATGTTGCAAGCCAGGAAGGCCCGCCTGGGCGCTCACGGGATGCCAGTGGACAGACTGCTCTATTTGGCTGCATCTGGTTTTGGTTTCCTGTCCTCACCCCAACCATCCAGGGGACCTCCCGCTGCTCCTGCACCCTGGGGTGGCAGCCCCGGAAAGCCCGCCCCAAATAACCAGCCCTGAACCAGGTCAGCTTTCCTCTCCTATTTTAGATCAACCCAGCCAGACTTGATCCCTTTGGGAGCAGCAGACACTCATGTCTCTCCTGGGCTCACTAGATTGGTAAGACCCTGAGACTCTCGCAGCAGGCTACCGAGGTAAAAGTTTTCAGAATTTCAGGCCCTTTGATGGAGAAAGTCTGCCTGATAAATAATTGAGAGAGCCTCCACTTCCTGAGAACTGCGAGGAGCAGTGAAGGCCTCCCAGTCCCCCCAGCAAAGCAGAGCTTCGGAGCGCTCCTGCGGAGGGGCAGGAAGCCTCTCCTTCAAGATGAGTCAGGAGAGGCAAGAGGACTGGCGTGGGAAAAGCCTGGCCATGCCAGGAGAGGGCCGGTGGGCACCTGCTTCAGGGAAAGATGCAATGGGCGCCATACCCGAGAGCTGCTCTCACTGCCTTATGATCAGGATCCCATTTCACCCCTGAAAGACGCCATGTGGTAGGAGTGCAACCCCCATTGGACAGAGGAGGAAACTGAGGCAGAGATAAGCCAAGCCCTTCTGGGAGGTGAGGGCCTGGTGTCTGGCCTGTCATTCTTCGCCTCTCTGCTCACCTGGTGGTCCTCACGCACCAGCAGGATCCTGGAGTGTCAAGGACCTCCAGAACCTGAAATCTGTGCCACTGTGGGATCAGGATCCTAAAGACACGAGCTTGAATCCCGGGTCATTTGCTGCTCTGGAAAAATGCAGTGTTATAGTCTATCGTGGGGGTTGCAAGCTAGATGTATATGACATGTGGAGCATAGGGTCCTGCACAAAGTCGATACGCAGTGGATTCTGAGTATTACCTAAGGTTGTGCTAAATGCTCTTAATTAACCAACCCCAAAATGTAGAACGGCTCCAATGCAACAAAAGTTGTATGGAAACTGCAAAACAAGTGCTCTTGATGGGCGCCACACAATGGCAGGACGCTGGGT